GCAACGCAGTCATTCGCAGACAAACGCAGAGTTTTGGGATCCTATTGGAGAAAGGCCTTTATGTGAGCAGAAAGCGAAAAGTACAATTTTAATGTAATACACTCTAAAAAATTCCGTTGTTAATTTACAACGTCGGACGTTGGAAATTATTTGCTTCACGTCCAACGTAGTAAGCTTACAAGCTGCTAGTAGTAAAACACGACCTAAATGTAATTAAACAATCCGCGTGTTATTGCACCACCTCAAAGTAAAATTACAATTTTTGCGTTATGAAACATGCCGTGTGTAAATATATCAAAAAATTGGGTTGTATTACTATAAATAAGGTTATGTAAGCAGTTCGCGTATTTTTCTCAAAATTTATAGAAATTAATTTCTATCACTGAAAAAACACAGGAAAATTTCAAACTGAATTAAATTAAACATATTTTTTATTTTATAAAAGTTTTTTTAAACATATTATTTATTACACAAAATAAAATATATATACATATAGCAGCTCCAGTGTGTGTCGCGTTTCAAATATTGAACACTGAAACAAATATATCTCTTTTATTACAAATTTATTTATATTTCTTTTTCGTTTAATTTATTATTAAATATATCTAATATTACTTTTTAATTTTCAAAACTTTCATGTTACAGTTATTAATATACAGTGAAATGATATATGTTGATTTCTATAATGTTATCGAATTCATTATGCATTATTTTCTATTATTCTAAAGTTATTTCTAATTTGTATATAACATAGGAAACATTGCTTAATATATATTTCACTGCATAGGTTTACATTATTGGCAAAAAAATTAAAATTGGCTTACCTTGCTGTTTGAACAAAAATAATCACCACACTTTATTGTAAACTTGTGAACAGTTGCAATATATGCTGTGCGTCTGTTATGTGAAATGTGAATTTACAATAAGCGACATGTTTCTTTACACGCACGACAGGTTAAATAATCACCCGATTGTAAAATAACACAAACGATGTACTATTGCAATCTTACAATACATTTACATAAAAATGTAAATTTACTACGTCGGACGTGAAGCAAATTATTTCCAATGTCCCACTTGGTAAAATTACAAGATCTGAGTTAAATAACATTATAGGACGTCATAAAGCTCATAAAGTTACACAAAGTTGTGTAGAATTGCACTTGTAGGTTATATCACTACGTGTAGCAACGTAAATTTATCACATCAGACGTTGTAGTTTTGCTGAGTAAAATTACACGACGTGTGTTATAAAGCAATGTCCTTTTTTACAGTGTAAAATATTTTTTAGGTATTATTTATAACAGATATTAATTACGAGGTAAATTAGGTGCTTTAAAAAAATCATATATTTTGAGGTTATAAAATGTGTTATGAAAAAGTATAATGGAAAAAGGTTAACATTAGGCCTTAAATGTGATAACATTTTATAACCTCAAAATATATGATTTTTTTTAAAGCACCTAATTTACCTCGTAATTAATATCTGTTATAAATAATACCTAAAAAATATTTTATTTCATTAAAATTGTCAATTTAAATTAATTTGGTTCATTTTTATTTCTTATTTTAAATTTTTTATTTAGCAACAATCACATCATCGAACCACCGAACCAGCGAACTATCGAACGTGTTCCTATGTTTCACAAGCTAAAACGACATTAGCAGAAACAAGTTTCCCCTCTTTGCCTCGTGGCGCGTAGGCGCTTCCGTAGAAAAGATCAACGCATAAAGTCCAACGCACAATTGGTTCGCGATGGTCGTTCGCGAACAAGATGCATGAGTTAGAAGAGGACACAGCTATATCTCTGCCCTTTTCTAACACATGCATTACCTTCGTAAAGTTCCTGAAGGCATTCCTGAACACGACTGTACCCAATAGGCCAACGCAGAATGAATACGGATACGGGAACAGAGCATGAGAAAGAAAAGAAGAAAATTCATCTTCCTATTGTAAATCATTCAAAAACAATATTAATATAATTAAAACTTGATTTTTCTTACTTAAAACAGTGTTAATTCATTTTAATAAAATATAAATTTTTAAATTCCCGCTAGAAACAGTTGTTCCATTATATCGGAAAAGCGAAGTGTGAACGCGATTTTGTCTTTTTCGGTAAATTTTTTTTCTACCGACCGTCGTATAAATGTACCCTAAGGGAGGATTTACACCTTCGGTAAAAATTTTCAGAACGGAAAATTTTTACAGAAGGTGTAAACGCTCCATAATTCGAATCTCGGTCTAGATACCAACTAGCACCACCTATATTTTTAGTCAAAACTTTTGACACTTTTTACTCAAGAGTCATTTCAATTTTCTCTTTCAAATTTTCTGCTACTCTTCTCTTATAAACTTTCTATTAAATCCTTATTTTTAATTCTTTTGTCATTTCTTGCTTAAATTTTCTGTCCCTTTTTTTCAAATTTTTACAAATTCCTTTTTAATTTTAATCAAATTTACCATAAAAAATTACATTATTTATATTATTATTATATTATAAAATAATTGCATTACTTATATTATATATTCTATAATAATAATTTTCTTTACGAAATAAATTAATTTAATTTAATTCAATCATTAAAAATTCAATTTAATTCAGGTATTAAAAAAATTATAACCTGTTTATTAAGAAAAATGCTAAATATGATGTTAAACTATTACATTAAATAAATTTCAAAAAAGGTAATCAGCATATTTAAAAGTTAGCGCCAACAGTCGGACAACCGCAGCTCCATCTGCAACATGCACTTTTGCTGAGACGCATGATTTTCCCCTAAACGACAAATGGTCGAATGTTCAAATGGTCGAATACCAAGTAGTCGAATCGTTAACTGGTCGAATGCTAAAAACATCGAATGCTAAAAACGTCGAATGTTCAAAATATCGAATCGTCAATTTGTCGAATGATCAAAACGTCGAATTCTCAAATGGTCGAATGCTAAAAACATCGAATCGTCAAATGGTCGAATGCTCAAAAGGTCGAATCGTCAAATGGTCGAATGCTAAAAACATCGAATTCTCAAATGGTCGAATGTTCAAAACGTCGAATCGTCATTTAGTCGAATGCTAAAAACGTCGAATCGTCAAATAGTCGAATGTTCAAAAGGTCGAATCGTCAAATGGTCGAATACTCAAAAGGTCGAATCGTCAAATAGTCGAATGCTAAAAGCGTCGAATTCTCAAATGGTCGAATGTTCAAAACGTCGAATTCTCAAATGGTCGAATGCTCAAAACGTCGAATCCTCAAATGGTCGAATGCTCAAAACGTCGAATTCTCAAATGGTCGAATGCTCAAAACGTCGAATCATCAAAAATTCGAAAAATTTGCTTGGTTTAAGTCAACATTAACTTAAACCAAGCAAATTTTTCGAATTTTTGACGATTCGACGTTTTGAGCATTCGACCATTTGACGATTCGACGTTTTTAGCATTCGACCATTTGAGCATTCGACCTTTTGAGCATTCGACCATTTGACGATTCGCTGTTTTTAGCATTCGACCATTTGAAGATTCGACGTTTTTAGCATTCGACCAAATGACGATTCGACGTTTTGAACATTCGACCATTTGAGAATTCGATGTTTTTAGCATTCGACCATTTGACGATTCGACGTTTTGAACATTCGACTATTTGAGAATTCGATGTTTTTAGCATTCGACCATTTGAGCATTCGACCTTTTGAGCATTCGACCATTTGAGCATTCGACGTATTGAGCATTCGACCATTTGACGATTCGACGTTTTTAGCATTCGACCAAATGACGATTCGACGTTTTGAACATTCGATCAATTGATGAGTCGATGTTTTGAACATTCGACGTTTTGACTATTCGATGTTTCTAGCATTCGACCAGTTAACGATTCGACTACTTGGTATTCGACCATTTGAACATTCGACCACTTGGCGTTTAGGGGAAAATCATGCGTCTCGCTTCGTCGACCGCTTCGCGGTCGACTTTTTTGCTTTCTTCTTTTTTTCTATTCAAATTGTTCCTCTTATTTAATATTAAATTGTTTATTGTGACTCATTTAAAATTACGTAAATTTTCATTTAGTTTCTCTAAAGTTAAGTTAATTAAAATAAAAATTGCCACTTCATAATGATATTGAAAAAAGCGACTGTATAGCTCCATCTTCTAACTATGTATGAGTTTTTAAGGTACTATATTTCTTTAGATTTGGAAATGTGAGTGTGCCCTTCTATGTTTCATTTTCATTGCTATAACTGCGAGAGTACATTCGATTATTTTCGATTTAAATTCGATTTAAATTCTATGTGCAGTTGTGCTTATACCTTTATCTTACATTGTGCGAAATGTGTAACCTTAGGCTGCGGTTACACCTCTGCGGGCTGCTTGTCTGCGCAGGCAGGAGCAACGAGAGTAAGGGAGAAGTTTAAAGTCACTGACTCTCTTACTCTTGTACGTTACCATGACAACCTGCAGGCAGGCAGGCTGCCTGCAGAGGTGTAAAGGCCAACGCAGAATAGATCTGTAACCGGAACCGCAATCGTAAGCGTAACCGTAAGAATGAGTTAGAGAAGGATAGGTATATTGTTTATCCTTCTCTAACTCATTCTTACGCTTACGGTTACGATTGCGGTTCCGGTTACAGATCTATTCTGCGTTGGCCCAAACCGCAGCCTTAACCTTATTCGGAGAAACATGCTTTATTAAGGCTGAAGTCCCATGGCAGCGTTTTGCGTTGCGTTTTGTAACTAGCCCATGAGTGCAAATATAGCAAACATATATCTCCATCTCTCTCACACTCATTGCCTAGTTACAAAACGCAACGCAAAACGCTGCCATGGGACTCCACCCTAAATTTAAAATTAATTTATAATTTATTACCATTAATTAAATACTACAGTTTTTGATGCTTAATTAATTAAAAGATTTTTTATTGGAATATTTTTAAAATAGAAAGTTTGCACCGTTTGTACTTTATTTACTTTTGAAATTTTCATTGATTACCAGTAGTCGGTAAAATAGCGCATGTAATTATGTTCACATTTGTTCTCTGAATTTTCTCTGATTCTCATATTCAAGATTATTTGATCCACTTATCAAGGTCTAATAGAATTAATAAAAAGAAAAAAATATATATACATACATAATTGAAAAGTTTTTCAGTTACCCTGGTAAGTAAAGATTAATCAAAATCTCATCTTATACATAAAACATTATCTTTCACTTCTTTACAAGTAAAATACTTAAATTGTTGTCATATTTGTTTTGAATTGAAGATATCAGACGAAATTACAACCTTGGCACATATTCACATGTTAATCAATTATGTAATACAAGAAGATAAATTGTGTACTGTACTTCCTATGCAGTTTCTGCATTTTTTATTTCTACCAAATATTTATTTACTAGTTTTTCACTTAATTACATTATTTCACTTTATTATTTTTGTGCTTTTTAAGTATTTAAAGGAGATATAATGTTTGAAGATAACATTTTAGTTAAAAATTCAAATAATAACTCTTTTTAGTGCTAAATGAGTCTGCTAACCTCTTAGTATAAATTATTTTTGATAATTTCACTATAATTATAGTTTCAAAATATAATTTAAAAAATTAAGTATTTTAGAATTTTATTTATTAAAAATTTATTTATTTTTTTGACATAATAAATTTTATAATTTTAATGGCTTTTGTTTTTCGTTTTTGAAAATATTGTTTTCCTAGAACTCAGACTTCGCACTCAATAAACAATTTTAAAAAATTAGTATATAGTTTTAGGATTGCAAAAAGAAGCAAAAACGTAGCTACAAGAAAATTAAATTTTGTGAATTTTTTCTTATCCCGCTAATAATTTCAATTCTAAATTTTTGCAAAATTCAATTATTATTTTCTAAATTATAAATTAAATCTCTTCAAAAATATGCTTATTTACTTAAAAATAATTTTTGAAAGTAAAATAATAAAATTCTTTAAATAATAAAATTTATATAATTTATATTTGATAAAATTTACAAATACCTAATTGGAAATTTAAATAAATATTTTTAATTATTACGAGAATTTAAATATATTCAAAACATTTTAGCTAAAATTTTTTAAAAGACTAATTTTTCTTCATAATTTCTAAATTAAATTATCTACAATAATTTTTGTTCAATAAATATAATATAAATACTTATTTATTTTTCCAACGGAATTAATATTTTTAATGTACCATCTTTTTAAAATTTAACTGCCTCTTAAAATTTATAATATAACGCGTTTAATATTCAATTATAATCTAAAATTTTAACTGATATTCATTTTTAAATCAATTCTTATTAGAAAGTTCAACAAGAATTCAATTATTCAAATACAAAAATAAATAATTTATAGAATAATTAATTATTTCTTAAAATTTAATTCTTTTAAAGAATTTTATGAAAATTTTTGAAAATAATTGATTTCTTTCAAAGAATTTAAATAAAAATTTAGAAAATAATTACATTTTTTGAGAAATTTATTTAATGTTGTATTAAAAATAATAAAAATCCTCTATAGGATTTTATTATTTATGAAAATAATTGAATTCTATGAAAAATTTTGTTATTTGTAAAAATAATTGAATTTTATGAAAATTTGAAAACATAATTCAATTATTTCGAATAAATTAATTAAAATAGTATTAAAAATAATTGAATTCTTGCGATGAATTCTATTATTTATGAAAATAATTAAATTTTTATAAACAAATATTATCAAAATTTAAAAAAATAATTTATTTTAAACTATTTTATTAAAATATTTTAGATAATTGAATTTTTTGTAGAATTTTATAAAAATATAAAAGAATAATTCAATTATTTCGAATAATTTAATTAAAATTGTATAAGAAATAAAAATCTTTCGAAAAAGTTTCTTGAAAATTGTAGGTATTTCAAATAATTAAATTTCTGTGAAAATTTTTTTATTCTAATTGCATTTTCGTGAAGAATTTTATTAAATTTTTTGAGATTAATATTTGTATTTCAACTATAGTGCAAATGTTGAAAAAAATAAAAAAAAAGTAGTTTTTAGTGTCAAAAATTTAAAAAAGTATCCAAATAGTAGCTAATCTGAAAAAAGGTAGTAAATAGTAGGTTTTAGTAGATGAGTGCGAAGCCTCAAACCCAAGTATTGTATAATTTACTGTTATCTGTAATTGTGCACTCTACATTTTTAAGGAAAAACGATAAAGTAAATAGACTTTTTCCAATTAAACATTTTTTAAATAGACCACAAGAATAAGTTGTTAACTTAATGCTATTTTAGAAGCAATATTTTTCATTTGGTTTTTATATTATATTACTAGCTGTCGTACCCGTCTTCGACGGGTTTTAGTTTCTACCAATACATTTAACAGTGTGTCTACCAATTTGGAAAATAAGGAAATAGCTCAGGAATTTAATTTGACCGGAAAAAAATAATAATTAGTTAGGTACCATTATAGCTATTTCAGTAGGAAAATATTACTATTTGAATCAGTGATTGACTTTTTATTATCAAATTAGTTATTTTAACCAATTCAAATGCAGAGAACAATATTTGTCAATTTGTAGTACTTTAATTAATGCATTAAAAATTTATCAAATTTCCCACCCAGTTTTTGGAGTTATAGTAGAGTCTAATTGGAACTAATTGTATCGCAAAGGTTACGACTGCTAAAACCTAACATAAGACCTATATTTTAGACTGAAAGTAGGGCTTAAATTTTGACCCGGGTCTGTTTTCATAAATATTATACATCAATAAAAATTAAAGTAAAAAGCAATTTTTTAAAAGCGAATTAATATAATGAAACTTTTTCTTAATTTGATTGGAAAATTCCCAGCTTTTTCCAGTTTTCCCCGTTTGGTAGTTACCCTGTTAAATGTATTAGTAGAAACAAAAAACTGTCGTAGACGGGTACGACAGCTAGTAATATAATCTATATTTTATATGAACTTAAGAAAGAGTATTTTCATAAAAATAAGTAAATTTTTATAGCCATTTGTAGATTTATTTATGGATAAAATCAAGTAAATTTAAATTTAACAAAAAAAAGATAAACCGTGAAAAAGGACAAAGCAGGAAATTTTGTTAAATAAAATAGACACCGTGTTAACTTTTGTCTTTACATTGCTCAAAACATCTCTTAAAGTTAAATCTAGAGTTAAAATAAAAAAAACGTTTTAACATATAAGTTTTTGCCTAGTGGCATATAATATGCTTGTATTGTATCAGAGGTGACTTACAATTTCTTGACATCCTGCAATATCATTTTAATCATAAAAAATTTGCATTTTCAATATTTCTGAAATTCTTGAAAATATTAGATTAATTTGATAAATAATTCTCAATTACACTATTTTTACGTCAAAATAATAATCAGAGACTCCAAAAATACTACTGAATTAAACTTCATAGTAATTAGTATCGATTTTTTGATTTGAAAATATTTTTATATTTACTTATAGGATAGTATTTTTTGCAAAATTATGCTAAAATCTGACTAAATAACATATAATATTGAATTTTAGAAAGTTTAAAAGCTATCCATTAAAAATGTGAAATTTGGAAATTTTCCATTTTTTGAAGTTTTTGAAAATATTTTTATATTTACATCTTAGTTATAGGATAGTATTTTTTGCAAAATTATTCTAAAATGTGACTGAATAACATGTAATACTCAAATATAGAAAGATTAAAAGCAATCCATGAAAAATGTAAAATTTTGAAATTTTTGATTTTTTGAAAACATTTGTATACTTACATATTAGTTATAGGACTTTATTTTTTGCAAAATTATGCTAAAATGTGACTAAATAACATGTGATACTCAAGTATAGAAACTTTAAAAGCAATCCATGAAAAAATTAAAAATTTTGAAATTTTCGATTTTTTGAATTTTTTGAAGAAATTGAATATCTCCCGTTCTAATTAATATTTTTTAAATCTGTAAATTTATAAACCTTCCTTGGGTCAATACCTAATAACCTACCAAGTTGGACTTAAATCGATTTACATGTTTTTGTGTGATTGGGGTACAAAGTTTTTGTGACAGACATACGTACATACATACGTACATACATACGTACATACATACGTACATACATTAAATTTTTTAAGAATATTTTTGGAATCCCTGATGTCCATAATAACTAATCATGTTAACATTTTAAAGTTTTAAGCAATGTACAGACAGACATCTGATTTTATTAATAAGGATAATGAAAAATATATTAAAAGAATTATAATAAAGTCTTTAACGTCCGAATGGTTTTTATAAGAAAAGTCCGAGTGGTTGTAGCAATTTTTATTTTATGACAAATTTTTATTTTATTCTGACTGTTACTAATTTGACTATCCCTGAAGAGAAAATCTGTGAATTTCGAAACGCTGGAGTAACATTAAAGAATCTTTGTCTGAATGACTTCGTTTGTCTTAATATTAAAAGAAAATTTTTATAGCTAGTTTTCAAAATTGATAATAATCGTAAACAAATGTTAAAAATTTTTCTGTAAATCAGGGAAAAGTCACAGAAACAAAAAATATCTAATTTTTTATCCCACATGCACAAAAATGGCGCTTTTAGATAGCTGACGACAGAGAGTAAAGTCAGTCATTTGTTCGACCATATGAAAATGGCGTCCATTTTCTCCCAAGAGGCAAACATAACAGCTGATCCCATGCGTTATTTTTGCCCTTGGGAGAAAACGGCCGCCATTTTCATATAAGTCGAACAAGTGAATGACTTTTACTCCCTGTCGTCTGCTATCTGAAATCGCCACTTTTGTGCATTAGGAATAAAAAATATCGTAAGTAACACGGGAATAAAGGCAGCCAATTTGTTTACGATGATTTTTGTGACACAAGTGGAGGTCGAGGGCGCCATAGGCGCCCCGAGACCTAAACGTAAACACCGTAAACAAATGGCTGCCTTTATACCCTTGTTGCTTAATATACTATTTGTGACTAACTTTGAATAAAATAAACGACTTTTTTTACTTCGAATCATTTATGTTAAGAAACATATTTTTTTACGGTTTTTACAGTTTTTTCTTACATTTTCAATATATCAAAATCAAAATCGTAAAGAAAATATTTTTTTACATATATTGTTGAAGAAAAGTTATATTTTAAGATTTCCATGAAAAGATGTATTATTAAGGTTCCAATTAAAAAATATGCAAGAACGTACTTTTTCGACCCCAATCACTTTTATGACAATTGTGTCAAGAGTAATAGGTCAAGGTTGTTTGAGTTGAATATTTGATTGGTATGATGGCACGCAAGGGTAATTGGTGAATAATTGAAGTTAATAGACTCAGAAAAATTTCGTTTCAACGTAATATAACATGTTTTTTGTTAAATGAATATTTGTTCCACAGACTATACAAACTATTTTACTAGTTTCATACAAATGGTTTATATTTCCTAAATCATTTTTTTATTTTAACCGAATAAAATTTATTTCAAACAAACAATTTTCTATTTGGATATCAGACAAAAATGGGTGATTAAAATTAAAATAGCATTCTCATGTCCTGCCTGAAAATCTGGAATACTAGTTCATATATACATGGTGGATATCACGTCAAAAGTCCACCCAAAAAAAAAAATGTTGTCCAATTATTCCCAAATTTTTTTTATGATATGCCCTATAGGTTAGTAATTTGTCGGATAAATATTTTTAAATTTTATAAAAAATTGTCCGAAGGGCAGGGGGTAGAAGCTCTGAACTTTTGCGTGACACGCTCCACTTCGATTATTTCTTATAATTAGAGGAAAAAATTTTTAAAAAAATTAGGATATGGGTTTTTTTAGATTTTTTCATGGGCTTTCGAATGGCACAGTCTATTTTCAAAAATTTTTTTATTTTGACACAAATTTTGAAAAAAAAAATTTTTCACCTTTCGCATTTTTGGGTCCATTTTTTCTTTTTCCTTTTATTTTTAAATGAAAGCTGAGCTTTTTTCTGATGAAATACTTGTTTTCCAAAAAACCGTTTTTTTTTGTTTTCGAGAAATGATTTTTTGAATATAGCGTATCACGTCGTCGCGCTGCAATTTAATTTATAAAACGTTCCATTGAACTATTTTCTGCATTTTACAGGGTTGAGACTGACATTAGAACAATATAATGCCTGCATTATAGTTTTTTTTATTTTTTTAAATTAAAAAAAAATATTTAATTTTTTTAAATTTTTAACAAAATTTTTTTGCAATTTTATTTTTAATTTAATGCGTGTATTTTATTTTTTTGTTGGCTTTTTTTTACTTTAGCTGTTCTCAACTTTGTCGCTGCATTTTTTGTTTTAGTGCCCTTACTTTTTGAATCTTTTGATGCTGGAAACTCCACATAATTTAAACCCAACGAAGTTATTTTAAGGAACAATTTTTCGTCATTTGTAGGAATATCCTGTCGAGTCAAAAGATTAGAAAAATAAGGGCACTAAAACAAAAAGTACAGAGACAAAGTCGAGAACAGCTAAAGTAAAAAAGCCAACAAAAATAAAAAATAAAATACCTGTTTTGAGCATGTAACGACATGAGTATTTTGAAATATTTAAAAATCGGAGGAAATATTTCAACATAAAAAAATAAAAAAAATGGGAAGAAATGAAAATAAATAAATTGTAGGCATTAAATTAGAAATAAGTCTAAAAAAATTAAATTTTTTTTTAATAAAAAAAAATATAATGCAGGCATTATATTGTTCTAATGTCAGTCTCAACTCTGTAAAATGCAGAAAATAGTTAAAAGGAACGTTTTATACATTAAATTGCGGCGCAACGACGTGATGCGCTATATTCAAAAATTCATTTCTCGAAAACAAAAAAAAACGGTTTTTGGAAAATAAGTATTTCATCAGAAAAAAGCTCAGCTTTCTTTTTAAAATAAAAGGAAAAAGAAAAAATGGACCCAAAGATGCGAAAAGTGAAAATTTATTTTTATTTTTTCAAAATTTGTGTCAAAATAAAAAAATTTTTGAAATTGCTTTACTTAGCGTTTATAATAAGAGTCTTGTTTATAGAGACTTAGAGAAAAAACATTACAACATTCTATCACATCTATCATTTGTACGGTTGGCAGCCGAAAGAAAGTAGCATTTTGTCGAGCACTTTATGTTAGTTGTGTCCCCATAAAAAAAATAATACATAATATTTTTTTAATATTATTGTACCGCAGTTTCAGTTATTACACATACATCTTCAGACATATATTTCTGTAATGTCTTCAAGGGTTCGATAACTCACACGTGGCAAAATATTGTTCCCGCAATTAAAATTTTTCGATTCTTAGCCCCAATCCAACTTTCAGTTAACTTTAGCTGTAGGATAGACAAAAGAAATATTATGCGATAAACTTATCAGGCATTTATCGAGAAGTGTATAAAATGGGGCCACAATTAGCTACAATTTTCTTTTCGCAATCGTCATTTTTACATTTTTACAGTATAAGTATACTTCTCTTTAATATTGTAAACTTTGCTCAAAAATTTTTAACTCGATCGTTTCAAGAAAAGATAATTCAAGGTAAGCGGAAATCATTTGGCACAAAGTTACATCATCAAACAGTGGGCCAGAATCTACGATTTTTGTCCAAAAATATAATTTTTTAACTTTCGAATAAGTACAAAAAAATTATTATAATTTATTTTACAATAATTTAAAAATTCATTACAGAAATTATTTATAAAGTAATGAAAAATTATGTCCTGCAGAATTATTTGACTTTTGAATTTGATTCAAGGCAGTGTTATACGTTTCTCATTGAATACAAATAAATAATTTGTAACCGTGTTTTTCAGGGCTTTCAACATTTTTTATCTTAAAACTGACGTGCTAGAGACTTCTAGTTAGGCTTAAATTAAAGCTTAAATCGTGCACTACAAGTCTCACATTATATGTGGGCAAATTATATAATGTACTTTTATTTATTGTACTACATTTTAATTTAGCAGCTATTTACTTCTAAAATAATCAATTGATAATATTTTTCTGTATTTTTTAATCATAACTATCATTACAAGCTGTTTTATGGAAAGAAATCGTCGCTAATATAAATTTTTAAGGTTGCATGTTAAATTACTTTTCAATTGATTTGTATAATTTTCATCAATTGCACGGAGAAAACTGGAGTATTCAACTTACTATCTGGAGGGACAAACAGACTATATTTGAGGTTAAGTTTTTCGTAACCATCTCGGAGGGATAAATAGACACTCCGATGATTAATTTGACTAACTCGGAGGGAAAAGTTAACTATCCAGAGAATCAGGCTTAACACTCAAAACCTAACCCTCTAAGTTTGACTATCCAGTTTTCTCAGTGTGGGGTTTAATTCTACTTTGGACAGTCAAGCTGATTTCAAACACATAACATTTTTTTCACTGTTGTTAATCACGAATTTGAAGTCAATTTTCAAAAATTTTCAAATCCAATAGGGCAGATTCAATGTTAAAGACATTTTTAAAAATTAATTAAGAAATTCTCAAAATCAATTTACATTTAAAACTTTGTTCACATATTTTTCTTATCTATTATAAATGTTTTTTTTTAGATTGCATACACAATGGTGGCTCACACAGTTCTTTTGGACTTCACAGTCTCATCAAACGCAATCGTAGATTCCGAAAAGCGTTCCAATTTGAAATCAACTATTGCTAATGTTTTGAAAGAACATTTTGTTGGATTGAAACTTTTGACGGAATCTTATATCGACGGAAGTTTACTTGTTCTATACACTGGACCAAGAAGCAGTTTAATCACTATCAGAGGATATCCTGAGGGTCTCATCACCATCAACATCGAATATTACAAACGCGACGACGAGAATGCTCTCTTAACATTCGAGGTAACTATTAAAATAAGAGAAAATCTAAAATTAATTACGAATACACGGAGAGAAAGTTATATTAAATTTTGTAAAAGAATTTCCCAATTTGGGGAAAAAGTGCCACAAACCGAAATTTTGACATAGAAAATACTAAATAGTGAAAGAAATAATATGAAATTTAGTAAAGTTATATTAAAATTTAACTAAAATTCTTATATTTGATATAACTTTACTAAATTTCATATTATTTCTTTCACTATTTAGTATTTTCTATGTCAAAATTTCGGTTTGTGGCACTTTTTCCCCAAATTGGGAAATTCTTTTACAAAATTTAATATAACTTTCTCTCCGTGTAACAAAAGTCTTCTTGTTTCTGAAGTCAAAAATCTGGGATGAAAGATTAAATATTTTGTTTGAAAAAAGTAAACTATTCAAATATAAAATCAAGCAATTTATAACTGAGAGAATATTGTAGCAATGGCGATACTTGGAAGTCGATGTTGCTCTGGCTTTGAACAGCCAACGCAGTAAACGTTTACCGCCTGTAAGACGAGGAACAATATATGATCTTTACCTGACGCTCTCAGGTAGAAACAGTTTTCCCCACATGACATATTATTTTCATTTTCAATATCCACAATATATATACATATTTTTTTTTTTTACGTTTTGATATGAAGCATTTTCTAGATATCTATTTTTTTACCTATTGATCTTTACCAAATATTCTTCTAGATTTTTAGGTAGGCCGCTTGTCATGAATGCTGATATAGAAAAATCTAGCACTCTTTTTATATTTATTTATTTTTATTATTTAGGCGAATGTTTTTCGATTGTAAATTTCATTATCAATTGAATCATTGCACATAGTTAAAGACATCGATTTTGTTGAATTTGTTTATCGTTTCAAAAATGATAATTTTTAGTCAAGACTTTTAAAACATTAAACTATTAAATTAAATTTACCTATTAAAATAAATTTTATCTTTCAGTACTAAAAATGGGAAGTTCTCCAAGTTTAATTGTATAGAATATTCTTCAGACAGAATTTCATGTCAAATTTTCTATATCGAAAGTTTTGTTGCTTAAAGTTAATTATATAGAATATACTTCAGACTGAATTTCATGTAAAAACTTTTCTTTGTCGGAATTTTTCTTTCTTCTAATTGGTACATATCAAAATGCTTATAATTATGGAAAAACTGTTTTATGAACAAATTATCCTAATTAAAAACTTCAGTAATGCTAATTACTAAAGGAGAGATATAATTGAAAGAATTTTCTGGAATATAAATTTTCATTTAACAGAAATATTCGTTTAGGAGAATTATAGTTTTGCAGACAATTTATGTATCAAAAACTTGATATGTTAAATTTTTCTTCAATCAAATTTCCGTGTATCACAACTCATACAACACCGAAACTTTCCTAAAAATTTATTAAAGATTTACTTGCAATCTTTGAAGTATTTACTTGCAAAGTTAGGTAACAATTTTTTAAAGATTTAAGTGTCCCACTTGAATAAATGTTTTGCGTCAAACTTTACTGAAAATTTAGCGTGAAACTTTCCTGAATATTTAAATGTTACATCTTATCGTCTTTGCATTGCAAAATCAACTGCGCAGCAGAAAATGCTTAAGAAAACTATTGCGTAACCTTAAAGTTTAAACAAAATTTGTTTCAGGTGAAGAAAACTGGTACAAGAAAATATTCATAAACACGTACAATTTCCATAATGGAAGAATTTTATTTCAGGTGAAGAAAAACTGGTACTAAAAAATGTACCTGAACGTGTACAAGTTTCATAATGGAAAAATTGTCATACATGATCATGTACATTAAGGTGGATCTTATTTTGCAAAAGTTTGAATGTTTTAGGTCGCCGGCCAGAATAAATTTTAGAATATGAACAAAATGAGCTGCATTGAAAAAATGTTGAATGCAATGGAATTTCAATTGTCTGAAAGTTAAAAGTCGCCCAAGATTTCTTCCGTATATGCAGAAGAACAGGCCATTTAATAGTAATAATGTTTTTAATAAAATGAAAATTAATTTTAAATTATGATAATTATATAGTAAAGTAGTACAACGATAATTATTTTTTAGAAATAATCTCCAAATCTTAAAAAATAAATATTATACATTTCAATTTTGCTATGTGTAACATTCAAGCTACAGAAAATTTGCAATGGGAGCCACTAATTTAATTCCTTGAATGGTGAGTAGTGGAGGATCCATGTCATAGATTAACTTATTTTATAGGCGTGCAACTGGATTTAAATTCAATAGAGTACATGTGAATCCTGTCAATATTTTTATTACTGCAACCAAATTGACTTTTTAAAAATTTGAAATTTATTGAGTTTCATAAAACATAAGAATTCTGATACGTACTACTTAGAAGAAACGAACATTCCAATAATGGAAAGTTTTTATATTTGAAATTCTGTCTGAAGAATAAGAATTAATAATTTTAGGGAACTATCATGCATCCCCTAAAATGGTTACGGACTTTGATCGATTCTTTAAATGGAGGCACTTTACTAATTTTAAAAAAATAGAAAAATTTAATAAAATGTAAAAAATATCTGTTTTCTTAATGCTTGAAAATTAATTGACTAATAAACTGAGAGGAGCTAAAAGTATGTTATTGAAGTCAATTCTTTAATAGAAATTATTCTAGAAAGAACTGAATGCGATGGCGTGTTTACTGAGAAAAAATGTGTACACTCAATATTAATTGAATTCTTGGGTTACTTTTTCTTAAAGAAATAAAATAAACTTTAATGAAACTAATGCAGTGCACGTCGCACTTCACTGTCGCCCTCCTGAACTATTGAATCTCAGTTTATCTTATTTTATCATTATTTTAACATTTTCTCATCTCGATTCCAGAGCTTGTCATTTGTAAATTATATCGAGGCCGGTCATTTTATCACACTCAGATTTTTGAATCATAAATGCGGAAATTCTTTATAGTGTTCTTTGAGTAGAAGAAATTCCTTCAAATAGTTTAGTACCTTTTTATTTATTCTATTTATTGATTGGTTCGCTTGACGGCTTTTGGTAGTCAGCCAGAGAATTGGAGGTGGCGATACAGGCAGTGACAACGGCTACACGGTCTCACACAATAACTGCTATTAAACGCGGTGGCAAGTTTGACAGATACTTTCCTACCTCCGGTGAGTTTTTTTATATTTATGTTTACGCGGAGACTAATCACACTCTGCGAATCATCGTTCTTTTGCTATTAAAATTGTCTAAGCCCCAGCAGCATGTAATGATGTCACTGTAATATTACAGTGATCTTACTGTAATATCAAAATGTCCTCTACAAAGTAATATTACATATTGAACTGAGATACTTTGTGTTCTTAAAACAAAAACTTGGTGGGTTTGTATTTCTATTTTCTCTTGTTTAATTTGGAAAAATATTTCTCAGTTCAAGAAGTAAAATTATGTGTAACATTACGTTAATATCACGTTTAATATTAAGTTAATACATATTACACATAGCAGACATTTTGTTATCAGTAAGATCACTATAATATTACAGATAATATTACAAATATCCAAAGTGATATTTCAGTGATATCAAGGCAAAATTACGTGCTGCTTAGGTATAAATTTTAAAAAGACGTTGAAAAAAGTGCTTCTAAATTTTTACTGTACTAAAGAGAAAAAGAGATGAAATTTTGAATGTAATTAACAGATTTTAAATTTCGTCAAATGACCTTTTTCAATTTGAAAATTAATTCTTCTTGACGCTCTGCTAGATTTTCTTGCAACTGGATGATAAATCGCACTCTGTTGCTGCCATGTATGCGCATAACAGTTAAGATCTCTTGTTTTACAAACTAGAATGTTTATTTGTTTTATTGTGCTTCGATAATCCGTTGATAAAACAATGCTTTCGTCATGAAACGATTGCACGTTTACGGAAATGATTTTTTTTATATTTTGCAAACAATTTCATGTACGATAATTTTGTTTAGCATAAGGCTTATTTTTATATTTTTCGCTTTATTAGAAACATATTTTTTATACCATCTTTCTGTTTTGTTCCTTTATTTCCCGATTCTTTTTGTTCTTGTTGTACATACAATTTCTTTTGTAAAATTGGTACATATCTTGAAACATTAATTTTATTAAAATCATTTGAAGATTTAGATATAAATTTTTGCAAACTTGGAATCGTCAAAGGCTTGCCTCATAATTGCACGAACAAATTTTTCATACCAAGAATTTTAAAATCATTGTGGTAGACATTTTTTAATTTAATTTCACAAACTTTGGATAGAGTAATTATCAGTAATTTTGAAGAACAGGACAGTGTACCTCCTTGTAATATCGATATTAAAATGATGAGAAATTTGTCTCAAAGATTAGTGTTATTCAAAATTTGATTTTTGATTAAAAAATAAGTCTTTCTGAACTGAATAATTTCTCTGTCCATAAAACGAAAACGTATTCGTATCTCCTTCTGTAAATTTAATTCATTGTCACTAATTTCAAATTACATTAATAGTCTTCCACCAAATTGTAATTGTTACTATTAACCCTTAAAGTACAAGCTTAAAAAACTTACTTTTGATAGACGGGAAGTTGCACTGTACAATTTGTACTGAGATGTTTGGAAAGCTTATGTCTTATGCTCAAATTGATTAAATTCAATTAATGTTTTGCTATTTTCTAAAAAGATCGTTATTTTTTCAAAATAAGTATATAATAAGTATATAATAAAATATAATAATTTATGAATAGGGTAAACCGTACAGTAGTCGGCCACTTAATAATTTTGAGTGGTGCTTACAAAAATTTTTGAATAAAATTTAGATTTTGTTTAAGAATATGTTTTTTGTTTATTTGATGTACACAAAAAGATATAATGTTTTTGGCAAGTGCTCAGATTATGCTCAACATTACTTAAGTGGTGTTCAAATTAATTTTAAGGATACTCTCATCATATGGGTTAAAAGAGGGCAGATAATAGATAATATATAGATATCAATAATATATCTATATATTATTGATTGTGTCCTTTTTTTATTTCACACAACGTATTCTGGTGTGAGCAACTTAAATATGGTATCTGTCATTATTTCGGTAATACGTTGTAATTGATTAATTTGGTAAGCTCTTAATTTTGATTGATTTAAAAACTGTAAATTGTGCCAATGTAGGAAATATTTCTTAGGTTCTAAAAAAATTGCGTCAAAACCTTACTTACTGTTTAGAAAATAGCCGGAAACTACTTTGACTTTCCTGTTTGCATAGTAATGTAGAGGAAGTTGGATGCACAGTAGCCTTCTAAGGAAAGTAATTTTTTATGACATGCCTTCACATTGAACGGAATTTGGCTTCACTACTCCCCGTGGCAATCCAGTCAAGTTACACCTCCTGTTTCTAATCTTCTTACGTAGTGTACTGTGATTTGGAATAGAGGTGTAGTCATTATTGAAGTAATAATTAAACCTTCGAAAAAATATGTAAAATAAAAATAACAAAATAAAAGAAATTTAGATTGACAATATAATCGCAGAGAATAATAAATGAATAATGTAAAATAATGTTTGGGGGTTTGTTTAAGAAAGTTAATAGGAATGATATAATATGATACAATGTTTGAACAATTCTTGTAATCTTCAATTATTTATTGTTCACACAAAAGACTTGATTTCAAATTATATAAAAAGATACGTGATGAACAAAAAACAGTTTGATTGTTTTTAAACATTTTAGGCGCAATTGTACTCGCGCAGGCCCTTAAAAACGCTAGACACCATCTTACAATCTGGGAATTTTTCGTCTTACCCAGTGAGAAATGAAATGTCTCATCGACGTCTAAGCGATCTAAAAACACCTATTTAGATGTCGAATGGATGTCGAATAGACCTTTCATTTCTCACTGGGTATGGGTGTCTAAATACAATAACGCACTGCAGTTGGTCACAATCTTAATCGGGATGTTAATCAACCAATTTCTTAAACGAGTGACTGCCCGAACTACATATAACGCTAAGGTCGAGTTTGCTTGAATGGTAATTTCGTTCCGGATCGCTAATTCGTCGACTGATTGAGTAAACAAGATGCAATTTTCCATCACTGAATGGAAACATCAACATTGCTTCCAGACTTAAGGCACCCGCATCAGTGTGGAGTTTTGTTTCACGATCGTGGCAAAATGGTTATAAAATCGAATCCGAAGTTAATTGGCTTATCGACTCGCGAAAAGAATAAAAAATAATACCTTCTTTCCTAATTGGTTCTTGGATGATATTCGGAGTGTGAAGGTTTGTCAGAGAAATAACTTCTGCACGTTCGATCACTGTTCCTTTGGCGATTGATTTTGGTTCGGCGTTGAAATTCATAACTGGAACTTGAAAAAAAGGAGACTGTCACTGACTTTGTGTTAATCTACATAGGATAAATTGGTGAATGATCATCCTACTAAAACATCTAATGAATAAAAATTGTCATGAACTATTGAGTCTCACCTATGGCACTACAACTCCAACAATTGTGTAATTACACTTAACAAATCAAGGCCAAAGGTTGGTAAAATCTTCAGGTCCAAAGCTCTCTAATGCAACATCTTCTCGAATAACGTTGAATCCGTGTTTTATAACTGTTAAGGCATTTATCGTACACTCTGCTGCGCTAGGATTGAACACGGCTGAAAGATTGATTTCATCTACTGTTATCTCTTTAATATATTTATCAATAGAATTGTCTGGTTTTGCAATATTTACCTGATTGGCGTTAAGTTTTACCGGATTTCCAATTGCGTTGTGTGGTGTTAGGGTAAACGGTTTCTTGTCGGTCGAAAACGATAAATTTAAGTCACTAACTCACCATGTCCAGATCGCCAAAGCGCCAATAGGTTTCAACCACTACCAAAAAAGGAAATGGAAAATCATTTCACTTTTGTGAAAATTTCCACCCAAAGAAGACAGGTGCCCATTGAAATGGAGAAGCAGTTTGTCTCTGTCATCCTGCCCTGACAATCTCAGGCTTCGACCCCTTCTGATTGACAGATACGAATTCGGAAGCTTCCAAAACTAAGTCTCACCCAACCTTAGTACCTCAGTACATAGCATAATGCGTTGTCATCTCATCAAACACCTCTTTAGTCGCCTTTTACGACGCGCAATAGAATACCTGTTTGAGTTGAATAAAATTAATTAAAATGATTCAAAAAAGATTCTTCAGCTCACGCGGCCGGGTTCATCGGCTGTGAGGGTTCAGTTTTAAAGTTTAAATGTTTGTCCTGAGGCGCATTTACGTTTTTATGTACAATGAAATAATTAAATAACCAGATTAATAACCCATTTGAGCTTAATGTGTACTCTAGACAAATTATCGAAAAACTTTCCGCAAAGGGTGAGTCTCCAATAGACTTTATAAATATGAGTTGCCAGCAGACTGGCAGCAGACTTTACCTTACAATGTTAAGGTCACAACCATACCTTTGCGAAATTTATTTACGGACACTAAATGCACGTGTTTAATATTTAAAATTATTTTCCAGTACAAAATTTTAAAAAACTTGTGGGCCATTTATAATAAGTGTGTACTTTAAGGGATAATAATGTACACTTGTGGCATGCATTTGTTAGCTTTTTGTTCTGTTTATTAATACTGTTGTTATTATTATAAAAATTATTATTACGTTCTGTCTGAATATATCAATGTTTCAAGAAGAGGTGGAAAAATAAATATTTGTGTACAACTGTCTTTTTGGATAATTTTTCAGATGAGAGATTGCTGGAATATGATATTGATCATTTGGTATTCGAAGCAAGATCGCCATACCAGAAAGTACAAATTGTTCACTCCAAGTCTCTAGGAAATCTTCTAGTTTTGGACGAATTACAAAGTAGGTTTAAATCTTCCATACATTTTTTCTTATTCATATTTCCTAATTAATTACAATAGAACTTGTCTTATTTCAAGGTCACATAATTTCGATATTATTGATCTATGTTAAAAGCCACCCTATTGCAAAAATACACGTGTTATTGTATTAATTATACATATTTTAACATATGTCATAATATTAAATGGCTTTGGTCCGTTTAAATTGTACAGCACTGAACACTGGCGCGCATACTAGAAATTGAACTAGTGAATCGGTCACGGATCACCTGTTGAACGACTCATGAAGGTACAGTCTCATGTCAGCGTAAAAACGGAAAACGTTTAACCAAAAGGAACTTCCGATTCAATGGAAATCATTCTAATAGGGAATTCTTATTGGCTGAACATTTTCCGTTTCATGCTTTCATGGGAGTGCACCTTGAGTTGAACGACTCTCGAGAACTCATTGTATTTCATTATCTGGCCGTTTTGCTAGATGAACGGTATAGTTCTGACACTCGGCAAGGCCACAAGTCATTTAAGAAGAAGAAGAAGATGAACGGTATAGTACAAAAGGTCCAAGACAGAAAGTCCAATTTGAAAGGTCCAATACAAAATATCCAAAATTTTGAAAGGTCCAATAGTCAGAATATCCAGAAGTACAAAAAGTCCAAAATTTAAAAATATCCAAAGTAAAAAAATTTATTCCAAAACCAATGTATAAAAAAAGGTTATATAAAATATGTGATTTTAAAAATGTAAATGGTATCCAAGTAATTTAATGTATTCCATCTGTCGCGTCGGTTGTCCTCAACAAATGTTTCGTAGCGAGTCACGATACTCAACATTTTTTCTTCAATGCGTTGAAAATGATTTGAAGGCAAATTTCGTATTTTTTGCCCTAATGTAAGTTGACTTTGCATACATTCCACGTCACCTTGCTCTTGCTGCAATTCTGTTAGGAAAGCGTACAAACTGGCATGCAACAATTTCAAACCAAAGAAACGACAATAAAACAATTCATTCGATTATTTTCAAATTTATTATTTTCTATTAATAATTTTCTCTGGACTTTTTAAGTTATTGGAACTTACACATTGGACATTTTGCCCATTTTAGACTTTTTAAGTGTTGGATTTTTCGTCCTTTTGGACCTTCTAAGTCTTGGATTATTTTTTGCCCTCTGGATCTTCTAAGTTTTCGGACTTTTCGCATTGGTTTTTTTACTTTGGATGTATGTTGTTTTTAGGGATGAAAATAACTCTTGATCTTGAATGAAAGGTGACAAGATATTATTTAAAAATTATTAATTTTTTATGATATTTGGTATCTGGGGGTTTCGAGGTCGCTGATTACGAATCTCTGGTCAAATTTTTTTAATTCGAAATTGTAGATCTGATTATATTTGATTTATAAATTATATAGGTTGGTAACAGATTATTCCTTGTATTCTCAGCTAACTCAGGTATATCTGGAGGAGTTAAATCAGAGCTTTCTTTTGCAGACTGAATCAATATTTTTAAATTTTGACCGCCATATTGGATACCACATTATGAATTCTAAAATTCTGGTACCAGATTCCCAATCAGCGACCTTGAAATCTCCAAGATACCAAATTTCATAAAAATTGATAATTTTTAAAAGAAACCTTGTCATCTATTATTCAAGAGTTGTTTTCACCCCGAAAAATTGCATTCGACTTGATCTTACAAAACGGTCAGACACAGGTATTTTGTATGACCTTTTAATTTATATTTCCATTTTAGATCGAATAAGTATAATATAACATTATAATAAATTTCAATAAATCAGAGTCAGTTTTATGAACTCATGAAATATACTGGAAATTTAAATTAGAAACCAGTTATGTAAATAATCAAATTACTAACGATATTTTACTTTGATTTGAATATTAATGTTTAATTTTCTATAGATATGTCCGAGGCAGATTTAATTTATACCGAAACGCTTATGCAACGAGGAAAAGAAAATTATGCGGGGAAAGAAATAGTTATTTTAGGAGGCGGAGATGGAGGGTTACTCTGGGAGTTACTAAAAGAAAAACCAAAGCACGTGACAATGTTGGAGGTTAGTCAAAAATATTTCAGTTGTAAATATTATGTAATTAATATTCTTAAGAGCTCATAAATATACCAGAAAATTATTGGTGGTAATTCTTATCGTTTATAATTTCTCAATTGAGGAGCTGAATCGTACAACTGACTCTTCGCATGGACGCACGCATTAATACCGGCCGAGTAGTAATGAGCGCCTCTGGAGTACTATTGAGTCGGTTCTACGATTCAGCTCCTGAATTTCTAATTTTTATTTATTTGAACTTAAAATATTTTCAATTATAGGGTAAAAGGTACAGTAGTCGGACACCTCGAAGAAAAAAATTATTTTTAATTAGGCCGGTGTCAGACTATTGTCTGGTTTACCCTAGGTAATTATTGTTTGTTTTGAAATTTTAATGATGCATTGATTTTTAAGTGAATTGTAATCTATAAGAAATTAGAAGGGGCGTTCCATGGCATTTTGACAATAATTTAGCGAAAAAGTGATTTAAAAAAAGAAATAAAGTGGAGTAAATAGCATTGCCCAAAAGTGAGTGGGCAATGTTGACATTGCCCGGGCACTTTCACATTTCACGGAATTTTGTTAAAAATACCCGGGCAATGTCAATGCCCAGAGACTGTGGGCATTGTCGACAATGACCGTAACATATAGAAGAATTGAAAGGTACACAAAGGAACGCAAAATTTTCACTCTAAATGATTTAATGGGTCCACTTGTAGTTGTAGAAAACAACAATGCACACAAAAAAACCTGATAAATTGGACATTTTTCCAATTTCTTATAGTTACAGGATTTAGTAAAAAAGGAAAATTTTGTAAAAAGAATTATAATAGAATAGTTAGTCTAAATGTACAATGTAGAAATAAATACCATTTTTTGCAGTAAAATTAATAAGTTAACAAAATATTTTAACTATTTGTAATCAGCCATATTAACTGCTTTATTCAGATGTAGTAAGTAGTAACTATTGTTTACATAGTTCCAGGAGGCATCGGTAACTAAGACCATGACTGATTATTTACATGGAAACAACTATAAAAACTTTTATTTAATGTTCGGTATAGAAATAAGCAATTAAGAAACAAGAAGAACACATGTCTCAGTCAGAAATGAATGATCTAATCGACGTCTAAAACATCTATCTATATGGAGTCTAAATCGAGATCTACATAGACGTCGAAATTGTTGTCGATTCGTCGTTTCCAGAATGGATAGACTCAAGGCTAACGCGTGTGTTGGTTCTGACGCAAGGAATATAGTGTTGCCAACTAATTAAAATTTAGAGAGTAATTAACTAATTATAAATTTTGTAAATGTTCTGTAGCGGAAGCTGATCAAACAATGAATTTACAACTGAATAATATTTTTAAACAAATTTTTAATTAATCTTCACAAAACGTCGAATATTTAAAAGATGAACGAGTATATAGACTTTTAACAGTTGGCAACACTACAATCCTTCCGTCAGAACTAGGGCCTCCACCTTTTTCAGACGTTTCAGTCGGCACAGGAAGGAAGAGTAAGGAGACCGAACTCTGTGTAGAAAGCGCTTTAAAAATCTCAGAGAAATATGCCATACATTACGTTTTAATAAATATTTTTTTATTTTATTTAAAAAATGTCTTGTTGTGTGCCAGGATGTAAAGAAGGAAAAATATTCCAAATTAGGGATTATGTTAGGGATTATCCTCTACACCAAAGACAACATGCTTATAGAGCAGGTTTCTCAGTAGAAACAGCCCTCCATTCTACAGTAGGTAGAATAGAGGGACAAATTAGCAGTGGTGGCTATGCGGTTGGTACCTTTCTTGATATTGAAGGTGCCTTCCCTAACACCTCTAGCAAAGTTATCTGCAGGGCAGCCAGGAAGCGAGGTGTGCCCGAGCCGCTAATTAAGTGGATCGACAGCATGCTTCGCGAAAGGGCCCTTGAAGCGGAGTATGGTCTCTCCTTTATTGTGGTGCTTAGTGGCAGATGAGTTAATTAGAAACCTCAATAGCCAGGGATATTATACGCAAAGTTATGCGGATGATTTCCTTATAATTATAAGAGGGCACTCAATTGAGACCCTCTTAGAACTTACGGAACGTGCAATTAAGATTGTCAATGATTGGTGCAATCTAACTGGACTTTCTGTAAACCCAGAGAAAACGAATATAGTAGTTTTCACAAGAAAATATAAGGTACCGAGTTTGAAGAAACCGATATTTTATGGAAAAGAAATTTCTTTTTCTGAATCGGCTAAGTCCCTGGGAGTAATCCTGGATAAAAAGCTGATTTAGAAGGAATATTTCGAATTACAGGTTCTGTACTGCTTTTTGGGCGTGTAGAAGGGCGATAGGGTCATCGAGGGGAGTTAGGTCTAATATGGTCAACTGGCTCTATCAGATGATTTTAAAACCCAGGTTTCTTCACGCGGTGGTTGTTCGGTGGTCTAGGACTCAACTGATAACGGTTAAAGAGAAACTGGACCAACTGCAAGCAATGATTTTCAGGTGTATTACAGGGGCTATGAGGACCACGCCAACAGCTGCATTGGAATTCATACTAGCCGAAGTACCTCTTCATATTGCTGCGGTGAAAAAGGCTGCTCTTACTATGAGCAGGTTAACCGCGCAGGGAAGGTGGAAGTTTGGTGGTAAACACACCAAGCTTCCACGCTCAATTCTATCAATCCCAGAATTAAGTATGGTGCAAGATAGAATGATCAAGAGGGTGAAATTTAAACCCCTCTTTAAGATCATTACACCTCCCAGAACGGACTGGAAGAAAGGTGACAAAATCAAATAACTTTTGATTGGAAGCTGTTAAAGTAGGATTTAGAAATTTAATTTTAAAGATTAATTTTTAAAACTTTAACTTACGTGTCCTTCGGACAAAAGAAATTGTAAAGGTAGCGGATTCCCCCTCTACTTAGTTATTGATTCAACTAAGAGGTTGAGAACCCTACTCCTGTGAAAAAAGAGAAGATAGGAAAATTACTAGGATGTTTAAATTAAAATGCAATATTAAGATGAAAACAATTAATTGTATATTTTGCCCAAAAGTCCCTAATACAAATAATCTAATTTTCATGTGTGTAAAAGAGAGTACTTTGTATACGTGTGAATGAAATTGTAGTGTGTGTTATGTGGTGTAAGACTTTTATACTCACTACTCAGTAATTCAATCTCCTTGAAATAGTAATCCAATGACACGTTCTGACTTCGTAAATTTTATGTTGTTTTTCCGGAAAACTAAAGAAATACCCAATCTAGGTTCACTACCCAGTAAAAAAGGATTTTGTAATGTAGCATTTTGGACGATTGAGCAAGCCGTCTGCTCAATTGTCCAAACGGCATTTGGACAATTGGACTGGTTGCTCAATTATCCGATGCATTAGGTCCAATCATCCCAAATGTTTTTCGTGGCTAAAAAACTGCTGAATTAAGAAAAAAGTACTGAAATGTTACAGAAACTTTAGATAATTCTTAATTCCAGACAAATACAGAAAAATTAGGTATAAAAATACCTCGAGTGAGGAAAAAGAACAAGATTTCTAAAATATCACTTTTTAACTGACAGTGCAATGCTGTACTTGGAATTTAGTTAGCAAAGAAGTGAGGATTCTGATAAAGAGAAACACTACATTATACACTCTCAATACTCCTCATGTGGTAATATATAATTGTAGATTTTCAATAATAGTGTATTAACAATAATATTTTATTTTGCTGAACTATCTCTTTTTTAAAAATGAGAAACCGGAATCTACAATATATTACCACATGAGGAGTATTGAGAGTGGATAATGAAGTGTTTCTCTTTATCAGAATCCTCACTTCTTTGCCAACTAAATTCCAAGTACAGCATTGCACTGTCAGTTAAAAAGTGATATTTTAGAAATCTTGTTCTTTTTCCTCACTCGAGGTAGGGTAACTGCACCAATTGCCGAGGGTGCTCCAATTGTCGAGGATAATAATTTTCTTTTTTAGATAAATAGTATAATATATAATATTTAAGAACAAAAAAAATTTCTAAATAATCTTTGTATTTTCAACTGTATATTTATATATACAAATTTCGTAGCGATTCTACTAAAATAATTATTTAATTAATATTATAATTCACTGCTGTGAAATTTACACGAATCTCCATTTTCTTAATACTTCAGGTTGATTAAAACAGATTTTTAGAAATGCAAATTAAACGTATTTATAATGACTTTTTGTGTACAAAATTATTATTATAATTTTGTACACGAACTAAATTAATTTTGTATGCATGTTTTTTTGTTAAAAAAAATATTTAATATTTTTTAAAAGCAAATCATCAGTATTTGGTTCCTTTTTTTTGACAGTTCCATTTTTCGAGGTAATGACTCGAAAATTGGTGTAGTCACTTTTTTCGCTGATGCACCATTTATCGATGGTTAAGTGTTTATTTACTAAACGTCAAACATAAATGCCAAACATTTATAGGTACAGAGAAAAAGAAAAAAAATGCTCCAAAAATTTACAACCAACAGAAAATAATCAACCAAAAAAACGAGGAAGACCGAAAAAAAATTAATAAAAAAATGCATTATTTAAAACTAAAAAATTTTGTACTATAGTTTAATTATAATTAACCATTATATTTACAGTTCGTAATAAAAGTTTATTTTATTCGTTTACAAATTTAATGTGACTTAAATTAATTTATTTTTTCAATTAATGTCTGATTAACAAAATTGATTAAATTTAATTAACTTATATTTATAAAAGTTTAAAAAACAGTTAAATAATTTTCTGTCCTGTATCATCTACTATAAAAATGTTTTATATCGATATTATAAATTATTCAATTATAGTTAAATAAATATATTTGTTTTCTGGTAATGTTCTATAATATTTTTATCGAAAAAATAAATATCTACTCGATTTTCTAATATCTGTACAGGTTAATTGTTAGGTTATATTGGGTTATATGTTTAAAAATGTCATACCCTCGACAATATTGGAACAGACCCTCGAGAAATTAGCACAAGA